CTAAAAATTACAAAAGTTTACGGAGAAATACTAGATGCACAAATGAAGCTGTGGTAAAATTTTTTTGCATATTTCTTTGTGACCATCTTCCTCTGATGCCATACAGTGATCACCCTAAGGTTTTGTGTTTGTCAATGGAAAATAGTTGGTCTTAGTCCCAATCAAGCTAGTGGATGTATGAAAATTTCTTCAGCTTAAAGTCAGAATCAAAAAATTAACTTACATAATGTAGTCCAAGCTGCTACATATTTCAGAAGTTCCTGAACTAATAATGTTCGTAACACTAGTAAAAGTTAGATCAGGTTAAGTGAACCCAATACACCCCCTGTATCACGTTGCTTGAACTGAGTTAATTTCTACAGGTAAACTTTCATCACTTTGGTTGACCCAATATAGTAGGCAACATATACTGTAAAACATAATGTGTAATTTCAAAATTTAAGCTTGAGATACAGGACCTTGGTTTGGATCCTGTGACCATTTAATTTTTTCTAATTGTCAACTTTTTTTTATACAAAGTAGACTGGAAATCTTACAAGTGTTCTGTTTGAAGTCTGTTGAATGGCATGGATGAAATTGAATTTGAGATTTTGGGCTGGATGTTTTTGAATTAAGTATCCAGAGTTAAATTGGTTGCAGGTTTCAGAAGTTGAAAATTCTGGCCGTGAATTTTTAAGTGTAATAATGTTCTGGCTGAAAGCGACTTAAACTGAAATTTCATAATAATATACTCTCTGTTGTTTACATGTATGTGAAAAAGGCAAAAGCAAAAAGTCTAATTCTATCATATTTGTAAATGATTCTCGTAAAAGTGATACTGGTTATTTAATCCCAACTAACAAAATGATTTGGTTGGAATTTTTTTCGTGAAATTTTATATTCTCAATTGATGGCGCAAATTATAAAGATTTTTGGTCTCTGTGGTGGCATGGTGAATTTTTATTTTAAGTGATTGATTTGATGAACTTCCTGACATTGAACAATTATAAAATTTTCTAGATATTTATCCCATCTTGTCTAGTTTCAAAAAACCAAAGTCTTGGAAATTTCTCAATTCTGTACCTTTTTCATCCTACCTACTCGTGCTCACTCTCAGAAAGCACTAAAAAAAGACCCGGGGAAAAAAGCATGGGATGTCTCATCAGATTAAGCAATAGAAAGAAACAGAGAACTAAAAGGGTAAGTAAATGTTAAAGGCCAAATTACAAGCTTGAAATAATAAATAAGCAGTGAGAAAATTTTAGGCCAGTCAAAACTCAGAAAGAAGGTACTCTCGAATTTGGTACAATTGCGACACTTTCATACTTTGAGTCAAGGATTGACACCAGACGTAACATAACGGGATACAACCTTTTCTTCTTCAATACTTTGTTGCTTTTGCCAAACAGGTGAAAACCCCATACACCCAAATTACAAACTTCTCAAAGGAAAAAGAATGAACACCTCAATAGATTCATGCCTAAAAGATCAAATCTGGAGTAGAATATAAGAATGCAACATGAGCTAACTATATCATATACATAACTGTAATGACCCGGTCATTTTCCTTCATTTCTTTTTTCAGTAATTTATTTTTTTTCATCTTTTCTCGTTTATCGTTTTTCCTTACTTAACCTCACTTTTTATGCTCGGATTTGATTCCGGCCTAGCATGCATCCATGATATTTAAATTCCATGATATATATATTTTTACTTTTGTAGAAAAGCATGCTAGATGTTTACCTTTCTTGTAAAGGGTATGGATGCATAGTTTCTTAAAAATATTCATGACTTTTGGGGTTTTAGTGTAATTAAATAAAGTAATTATTTTTCATCTTAGGGACCATTTTGTAATTTAATTTGGAAGATATTTTAAAAAATGACCTGTTTGTAATTTTTGAAAAGTGTGACAAGTGTCACACTCCCATGGAGCCACTTGTTGACATTGTGGTGGAACCACTTGGAGGCTTAGTATTATGACACATGGAGGGTGGAGATTCATCCACTTGTTGGCCTAAGATTGGAGCGCTTGTTGGCTTGGATGGTTGACAAGTGTAGGCTTAGGATTAAGCCTAAGAAGGAGCCATGGATTAGTGACAAGTGTAGGCTTCATATTTGGTCTTCCATTATGTGTGTGTGTGAGAGATAGTGTAAGAGCACGTAGTGAGTAGAGGAATGCTAAATCCTCCACTCACTTCACTTTATTGGATCTTCCTCACCACTTTACTCTTAAACCCTAACCTAGCCTCCATTGAAGGAACAGCTTGACTTAGAGCTTTAACTTCATTTTTAACCTCTTTCTACTCACCTTAGACCCTTAAGCTTGGAATATTTTAGCTTCCTCTCACTTTCCTCTACAAAACCTTAGTTTGGTTTTTTATTTTAAGCTTGGTTGCTTTGGATTATAGAGATTCAATTCTCTATTGAGGTAGGGGTGGTTGTATGTTTATCCTCTTTGGGTTTTATATATATTGGAGCTTGATATATACTGATTACATGCCTTTTGAATTCTTGTATTTGCATATAAATGGAGATTTGATATGCTTGATTTAGGATTTGTGAATTAAAGCATGTATATGACTATTAAATTGAATAGGTAGATTATTGTTTAATGAATTGCCTAATACTTGTGATTTCATTGAGGGATTATTATAAATATCTTGGGGTTCTACTTATGTTGCTAAGTAATTGAGGTTTCATTGGAAGTTTAGTATGAAAATCTTGTATATAGCACTTGAATTAACTTATACGTAAATTACTACAAGTTAACTTGCCACTTTAGACTTGTAACCTTAGAGCATGGTTTGTGTGGTTTCATCCTACTTATGCTTGGTAGGTAATTTGATGCATTAAGATTATATAAATGTTATGGACTTGTTGATTTTTGGAAGCTTGTAAGGATATGAAATGGTTGATGGCTAGGGTTTGGCTCTAGTTCGGAGGATAAGAATTCTCTTAAGTCATAGTGCACACTAGGTAGTACCTTGTGGGTCGTAATTACCCAAAATAAATTGTATGGTCTCGTGGCCACATATCCTAATCTTTCTATTAGTTGATTTCGCATTAAATTCCAAATTGTAAATCATGGATTTCTTAAGATTGTGGATTTGTGCTTAAGTTCTATATGATTAGAGTACTTGTGTATGCACACTTGGATGCCATGCGTTTAACATTTTAAATAATTGTATAACTTGAGATGATTCCTTAGAGTACCTTGAAAACATAGACGTTAGGTGGAATGCACCCTTGTGACGATCTATGTTTTGTTTGCATTATAATTGAAACTATAGGGTATGCGCATGCACCATATCCTATGAGTAACTTGATTACTCACCCAAGTTGTTTGGGTTATTTTGCAGGTAAGAAAAGTTTGTTTTGGGATGCATCACATCCCTAAGTTGCTTTGATGCCTTGAAGTATTTTGTTGTATTTTGGAAAATATGCAAGTCTTAGCATGTAGTATCATTCTGGTGCAAAAATGCTATTTTTTGCTTTGAAATATGTAATGTGTACCTAAGTACACTTTTGACGCTTATTTTGTATGTGTATAATGAGGCCAAGGGCCAAGCATGTTTAATTTAACACTTGTACTCATTTGGTACCAAAATTTGCTCTAGAAATGTATTTTATCTAACTTTGGAGGTTTGGCATATGAAATCCATATAATTGACATGTATGAGGCCGTGAGCCATTGTATTACATTTAAATATTCATATTAGGTTTGTTGACATGTTCATATGCTCATATCTCCTTGGAAATCAGCTTTTAACCTTTGTTTTTGAACCAATTCATGTTGGGATTTGAGGCTTGGGTTAAACCTCAATGTTTTCTTAGTGTATAGCAGGTCCTACAACACCTTCTTTAGTCATTTTGGCCGACCGAAACGTCATTTTGGTCGACCGACAGCTTTTGGGAAATCAATTGCACAGTAAAACACACATTACAGTAGCCAAAATCACTGTTTGGGTTCATTTCGGTCGACCGATGCCTTATTTCGGTCTACCGAAGTGACCTTCCCTCAAAAACCAGCTTTTAAGAAAATTTATGTTCATTTCGGTTGACCTAAATAGCTTGCATACACCAGCCTTCCAGGTTTTGTTTCAACATTGATGTTCTAACTTCAAATGGTCATAACTTCTTCATTTTTAACCCAAATGGGGTGATTCTTGTGCCTAAACTCAAGGATTTTGAGTCAGATTTCCAATGGTACCAATGTAATTCTCAGATTCAAATCACAATGAGAGTTATTCATGTTTTAGTAAGATGGTGTCAGTTTTCGCTTAAACTAGGAAATGGAGTTTTGTGGGATTCTTGTCCAAAGTTTTTAGAACCTCTTAGAATGTTGTGAAATGATTAGTTTAGATTGTATGGACCTTATTTGACTTGATTAAGGTCAAATTTCCCTTCTTAGTTGTAAATTGACCATTTTACCCTTAGTTCACGAATTTTGCTTGTTTTGACTCTCGTTTGCTCCTTCGTTTTCTTTAAGTTCCGTGACTTCATGGAAGGTCATATTGGTGTCCTAGGGATGATTTATATCTCTAGAGGCCTTGGTTTATCTTTTGCTTCCATGATTCGGATCTGTTACCGGGTCATCACTGACGCACTGAGTCGAGAAAATTTTGGGTCGTTACAAGTGGTATCAGAGCTCCTAGGTTTGAAAACCTTAGGACGACGGGTTTTGGGTGCATATCACGCTTTTGTTGAGTTGCTTTGATATGTTTACGTATTTCTTGATAACATGTTTTGATTTAATAACATGTATACAAGCTTATATGGTGGTATGTCTAGGAACCTACCTTAACTGTTTTAGTATGTTGTTGATGCTTATATGCCTTAGCATTTTATGTATGCTTGTTTGGTGTTAGCATGTTGTATATGCTTGAATATTTTAGCATGACTGTATGCTGCATACATTTCTTGCTTTTGTTATGTGATTCTTATTTTGTGCATTCATCGCATGGGTTACGACAGGTCTTAACGACTTGCGTTGTTATTGACCTTGTCATTGTTATGTGTAGTGCCATGGTTTTGACTCGCAAAGAGTCTTCTCGTCATGTCAGAGTGGATAAGCAGGTTGAGGAGCAGGTTACAGACACCGGGCTTGCACGGTGTCCAGAGAGGATCCTAATCCACTACGAGCACTGACTTATGAGGAGTAGATCGCGCTAGGAGTGGCTCTGGGGATGTCAGAGTCCATTCAATAGATGTTTTGTCAGCATATTGCAGGGTTGCAAATTTCAGTACCGGCACCAGCACCGGTACCAGTTGCTAATGAGGCATTAGACTACTTTATGAATCTGCTTGCTTCAGAGGCATGGTTTGATCTCATGGTACGCAAGCTCGATAGCATAGCAGTACCTACAGACTGATTGAGGATCTCCTTGACTGCCTCTATGTTCATAGGAGATGCCGATATCTAGTGAAGGTCCATGACCAATATCTACGTTGTGGATGTGATGACTTGGGAGGAGTTTAGGACATTGTTCTTCGACCGTTTCTTTCTGAGGGCTATGAGGTAGGACAGGAGAGTGTAGTTTACAAGTCTCTATCAAGGTATGATGAATGTTATTGAGTATGAGACACGCTTAACTTCCCTTTCCCGCTATGCACCGGAGATGGTAGCTACCGATGAGCTCAGGGCAAGGAAGTTTCAGGATGGGTTACATCATGATTTTAGGCCACAAATTTCAGTGTTGGATTTGAGGACCTACGAGGAGGTAGTACAGAAAGCTATGTTGGTTGAGGCAAAGGACCAAGATTAGCTCGGGATCAAGGGTTCATATAAGCAGTCTCGTGGAGAGGCTTCAGGAGTATCTGTTGGGGGTCTATAGAAGAAGCTAAGGCCAACGACAGTTCACGTACTCAAGGATAGTCACAACAGGCTCGGTCTGTACTTGTAATTCCAATATCTTCAGGGTCAGCCCTGGGATTAATTTGTCACCACTATTAGTAGCTAGGGAATATCAAGCCTCGCTGTCCATAGTTTCAGCCACAGGCCAGTCAGTCTCAGGCTAGCAAGCCTACAACTTCGACGAAGGGGGTTCATAGAGCTTATCATTATTACAAGCAACCAGGTCACTTCAGGAGAGAGTGTCCAAAATTACAAGGTAGGACACAGAGTGGCATAGGTTCACAGGCCACACTAGCACAGTCAGTAGTTGTGCGGTCAAGTTCCAGGGTGCCTCAAGTACCACAGTCAGCGGCGCCGCCAGTTGGTTCATATCCGGTCAGAGGCTCTACGCCTACTGCTTCCGGACATCAGTCGGGTCACTAAAGCAATTCTCAGCAGTCAGGGGCTCAGGGATGAGTCTACGCATTGCCATAGGCTAATACCTCCCCAGGGACTTCTACAGTTCGAGGTATCTTTCCAATTTTTAGTTCTTGGGCTAGAGTTCTTGTTGACACGGGTGCATTGCATTCATTTATATCTACATTATTTGCACATTCCTTGGGGCTGGAGGTCACACTAAGGGATAGTTTCCTTTGTGTTGACACACCAATAGGGGGTCAAGTGTCTTTGGACCGTTTTTGTCAGGGTTGTGCTATTAAGATAACTAGGCGGACCTTAGAGTTTGATTTTGTTATTTTCGACATGACGCGCTTTGACGTCATTCTCGAGATGGATTAGTTATCCTTCTTTCGTGCTACGATCGATTGCTTCCGTGGTAAAGTGACTGTTTGTACTCCTGAGGGAGACTGTTTCCACTTTGTGAGAGGTTAGAGTGATTCCCACTCGGTGATTGTGTTTAGTATTGGTGACTGGAATAACCACAGGTCCTACTTGGCTAACCTGTTAGCTGATGAGGATAGCAGTTCGGGCCGCGTTTATCTAGTAGTTGTTGTGAAGTTTCTGGATGTTTTTCTAGAGGAGTTGACGGAGCTTCCTCCTCTTCGGGAAGTTATCTTTGCCATCGATGTCATTCTTGGTACTACGCCAATCTCTATGGCACCGTACCGTATGGCACCGATAAAATTGGATGAGCTGAAAGCTCTTTGAGACTTTGCATCGATTATCGCAAGCTGAGCCATGTCATAATCAAGAATAGGTATCCTTTGCCTAGGATTGATGACTTGTTTGATTAGTTGAAAGGGGCCACTTGTTTTTTGAAGATTGATTTGAGATCGGGTTACTATCAGTTAAGGGTTAATGATGAGGATATATCCAAGACCGTTTTTCACACACGGTATGGCCATTATGAGTTTCTGGTTATGCCATTTGGTTTGACCAATGCTCCAGCAGTTTTCATGGATTTGATGAACCGTGTATTTTGCGACCATCTTGATCAGTTCATTGTGGTATTCGTCGATGACATTATCGTATACTCAGCTTCGGTAGAGGAACATGAGTATCATTTGAGGACGGTGTTTTAGATTCTTAGGGATAATCGGTTGTACGCTAAGTTCGAGAAATGCGAATTTTGGCTACCGGAAGTGAAGTTCCTTGGACATGTTATAACAGGGGGCGGTGTTGCAGTGGATCCGTCGAAGATTGAGTTTGTGATGGATTGGGAGCTTCCGAAGATGGTGTTTGAGATTCAGAGTTTCCTAGGCCTAGCCGTCTACTACTAGAGATTTGTTCAGGATTTCTCTCATCTAGGTGCACCTATGACTCGACTTACCCGTAAGGGGGTCAAGTTCGAATGGAACGAGGCATGTGAGTTTGCTTTTTAGGAGTTAAAGGTCAGGTTGACATCGGCTCCAGTTTTGATCATTCCTGAAGGTGGTTTGGGTTATGTGATCTTTTGTGATTCTTCGCGGGAAGGTTTGGGTTGCGTCTTGATGCAGACAGAGCGGGTGGTTGCTTATGGGTCTCGACAGTTGAAGATTCACAAGTTGAACTATCTGACACATGATTTGGAGTTGGCAGCAGTTATCTACACCCTGAAAGGTTGGATACACTATTTGTACGGGGAGAAGTTTGAGGTTTTCTCTGATTACAAGAGTCTCAAGTATCTCTTCTCTCATAAGGATTTGAACTTGAAACAGCGCAGATGTGTTGAGTTCATAGAGGATTATGACCTTGAGTTGCAGTATCATCCGGGAAAGGCTAGTGGCCGATGCATTAAGTAGGAAGTCACGGGGAACTCTCGCTAACATCTCCGTTCATAGATGGAAAATGCTAGAAGAACTTACAGATCTTGGGTTACAGTCTTATAAGGATGTTTCAGTGGCTATTTTGTTTAGCCTTGTGGCTCAACTGGCACTTATTAGCAGAGTTATTAAGGCACAATTTGAGGATGGGGAGATAAAGGCCATCCATGTTCGGATTTCAGGCGATGAGGATGTAGAGGGTTGGACCTTACATCCAGACGGTGGTCTTAAGTACAAGGGGATGATGTTTGTTCCTTTGTCATGTTGTAAAGACATTCTTTGGGATTTTCACCACTCTCGGCTCGCAGTTCATCTTGGTGGTACGAAGATGTATCACAATCTGCGGCGACAGTTTTGGTGGCAGGGCATGAAACGGGATGTCTCACAGTTTGTGGCTCGATGCCTTACTTGTTAGCAAGTGAAAACAGAGCATCAGTGACCACCAGGATTTTTGCAACCATTACCAATAGCTGAGTGGAAATGGGAGCATATCACTATGGACTTCATAGCGGGACTTCGGAGGTCTTAGGCAGGGAATGATGCCGCTTGGGTCATAGTTGACAGGTTGACTAAGACGTCTCATTTCTTGCCTATGGCAGTGATAGATAGTGTAGAGAGACTAAGTGGACTGTTTGTGAGGCAGATCGTTAGGTTTCACGAGGTTCCGGTATTCATTGTTTCGGATAAGGATCCACGGTTCACATCTCATTTTTGGCAGAGTTTTCAGGAGGCTCTTGATATGGGGCTTCATTTTAGCATTCCATTCTTAGACTAATGGTCAGTCAGAGCACACCATTCAAATATTGGAGGATATGTTACGGGCTTATATCTTGGATTTCGGGGGTAGTTGGGAGGACTACTTGCCTTTGGTTGAGTTTGCTTACAACAACAGTTACCAAACCAGTATTGGAATGGCACCTTTTGAGGCATTGTATGGCAGGCCTTACAGATCTCCTGTTTGTTGGACCGAGGTTGGTGATACCGTTGCCTTGAGTCTCGACATTGTCATTGAGACTACAGAGAAAATCGAGTTAATTCGGTAGCAGTTGGCTGCCGCACAGAGTAGACAGAAAAGTTATGCTGACAAGAGGAGACGATACATGTCTTTTGAGGTAGGGGACCATGTCTTTGTTAAGATTTCTCCGTGTAAGGGACTTCTGAGATTTTGACAAACTGGCAAGTTATCTCCTAGGTTTATTGGACCATTTGAGATTTTGGAGCGTGTCAGTGAGGTTGCTTATCGTTTGGCGTTACCGCTAGACCTGGATAGGATTCACGATGTCTTTTATGTTTCTATGCTGAGGAAGTACGAACCGAATCCATCACATGTTTTACAATGGATAGATGTCGTTGTTGATGAGGACGTGACCTACGAGGAAGGTCCGATCTAAATTCTTGATTCATGGGAACAGGTCTTGCGGACCAAGACCATTCCATTGGTTAAGGTCTTGTGGAGACACCATGACGTTGAGGAGGCTACCTGGGAGATTGAGCAGGAGGTTCGCTCTCGGTATCCCCATTTGTTCTTTCTTTCAGGTACGACTCGATTTAGTGAACGAAATCCTTTTAAGGAGGGTAGGTTGTAATGACCCGGTTTGTAATGACCCTGTCATTTCCTTCATTTCCTTTCTTTTTTTTTTTCAGATTTTCAAGGATTTTTTTTTCCGTTGTTCTTTTCTATGAGCGCCCTGGAATGATTTTAGAGACACTTGAGTGCTCTAGAATGATTTCTGAGACTCTTTTTTTTTGGATTGACAACTTCCTTTAAGAGCCGAGTCATTTTCACATCTTTCGTTTTTTGATACTATTCACTTTTCGTCCTTTTCCCTATTTCGTCCTTCTCCCTATTTTGTCTTTTCCCCGTTTGTCACTTTTTGGCACAACCTCACTTTTCGTGCTCGGAGTTAGTTTTTGACCTCACATATCTTCATTCTAAGTGGTTTACACGAAATACGTATCTTTACTTTTGTAACAAAGTACTCTAGTTGCCCTCGGTGTCCATAAGGGGCATGGATACACAGTTCTTCAGAATCTTTTTCATTTCTTGGGGTGTTTTTCATAAATATCTTTTCAAGATATTTTATTTCAGGGGTTTTTAAGAAAATGCTTTTGGAAGATAATTTCATTTTGGGCCATTAGCGCAGTTTTCACTTTTTGAAGGGGCCATTGTGCAATTAATGAAAGTTATTACAAAAATGCCTCGTTTTGAGCCTGGATCCTTGTACGGGATTCATTTTTACATTTCGTTGAGTTGTGTACTCTTAGAATTTTCTTCTAG